CAGCAGGATGAAGTGCTCCAAGAAGGAGGACAAACGATGAAAAATAATTTTGAAAAGTTTACAGTGGAGTGGAAGGTGGTTCTACGTCTTATCTGTTCTGCTACTGTGAACTCTAAATGAGGGTATTAAACTAAATACATAAGCAAGAAGTCTAATCAAGAACATAGGCATGGACAAGCTACAAGATTGAAGTGTTCCTGTGCAACGTCTGCTCAAAGCATGCTCGCAAGCCCAGTTTAGCTCTAGGGTGTATTTTACAGCCATCTCTTCTTAAAGGAATACGTAAATAACAAGTTTCAATATGGATTTGCCCACCTTCTTTGTTGGAGTTTTCATTTTTAGAAATTCATTTAATTTGCAAAATATATTCATTTTCTAAGTTGCAAAAAAACAATTTCCAAAACACTCTTACATCTAGCAGTCGTAAAAAGATTCCTTTCTTAAGAACAGATTAGTTCATTAACACTTAAGTTTTAAGTTTTAAAAAGCTAATGCTTACATTTTAAAGTAGCCACTGCATATTATTGATATTTTACAGCAAAAATGGTGTAACATCCCCTGTACTTAACATTGTTCAAAGCCATTAACATTTATCTGTCCTATGTAATAAATGTTTGAAATCTAAAGACAAACACAAGATCCTTAATTCTCATAATATTAAACAGACTCGTTGTACAATTTTCATGCTATATAGAGCAGGAAATAAAAGTTTTCCTTTCAACTAAATGGAAAATTAGACAAAGAATTTACCACTTCCACCTGCAGATATTATTCTACAATAAAAGTTTCAACATACCTTAATAACTTCATCAGAAATCGCTTCTTGCTTGTACTGTGTTCCATACCAGTCTTCTGTTCGATCAGTTTGTCCTTCAAAAGACTTGGAGACTATTGCAACTCTGCAAACAAAGAGACAAAGCATTTGGCATGAGTGTGTCTGAGAAAAGACACTGAGGAATTATTCAGAGAAGTAGTTCTGTTTCTTTATCAGCATCATTTAATTTTCCCCTTTTTCTGAAGTACTACAGCCTAGAGTTACACACAATTATTGTTGCACGCAACTTCTACATTTTAGACTTTGTCCCTGTTCCAGAAAACACAGAAAGCAGCCCTTGAGATCTTCTACTAAAACCAATGAAGTGACCGCAACATTTTTCATACCACCTTTATCAACACTCAGATATGTGAAAATAACCACTACAAAAATTTTATTCCAAACCTAGCATTTTAGATTACGTTATTGCAGTTTCACACTCTCATTCATAATCTGGTGGAGTAAGAAAATTTCTTCATTTTGTATCATATTAATACTCTCATTTCCAATTGAAATCTGTTTCTCCACATCTTGGTTGTTGTTGTTGTTGCTGTTGTGTTGGTTTTTTTGAGGGGAAAGGAAGAAAAGCAGGAAGATGTATTTTACATATACAATGTATTTACAGTCAATATAACAGAATTACACACAATTAGAAACCTAAATTATAGAGCTACACAAAATCTCAAGTTGGATGGGACCCATAAAGATCATCCAGTTCAATGACCCGCTTCTCTCAGGACCACCGAGAGCTAGCCACATCACTAAGAACATCGTCCTGACGCTCCTTGAAAACATACCTAAACAAGAGGAAATCCAGAATAAAGAAAACTACAAGTTTATCAATATATTTTCAGTAGTCCTCATGACAGGTAACAAGAAAAGTCCTCAAGCTGAGCCCACGAAGAAGGCAGGGGTGGGAGAAGGTGTTGACTTTAAGATCTGGTTGTACCTCTCACTGCTGTATTCCGACGTTACTGGTAATGAATTAAATTGTTAGTTTTTCTCCCCAAGATGAGTCTGTCTTTTGCCCATGACTATAAGTGGTGAGTGAAATCCACAGTGGCTTTCTTGAATCTTTGTAACATATCATGTACAATGAAATCACTTTTAGTATATTTAACTAAGGTTGTTTTATTTCTCCCCGCCCCAAGATATTTTATCTTGCCAGGGATTTAAAATAAGATACTATAAAATTATATTCCTTGTTATAATTTAGTATGCTTTGAAGTGTCTCAGTAAAAGATTTAAAAATTCCTAATTAATTTCGTTCTACTTTTCATTTCAAAAGAGAAGCACTTAAAACAAATATGAGTAAAAGGAATACAGTAGTACATACAAGTTACTATTTTGTTTCAATCACATGAACATAGGAAAGTCTAATTAGCTCAGATCTTTAAACGCCTGATGCCCGTAATGAAAACATTTAATTCCCACTAAAACTGAAAGGACTTACACTTTTACATCTGAGAAAAATCAGCTTGTAGTATTATCGTAGAAGCTACACAGAAGCACAGCTATAATGTCTGAATCCAAGCTGAAAAAATGTATCATTTAGAGAAGCAGGAAAAAGCAACACAACACCGAAGAATCTTAACTTTGGTATGAAGTTTTGTATTTATTTTTATAAGTGATGGTTTTGGAGAAGACAAAGTCTGAACATAAAAAGGACCAAGATGTGAATGTACAGGTGTTATGGCAACAGCAAACACCAGCATAAGCAATCCAACTCTACCATCTACCATTCGAACTCCAAGTATGCCTGCTGCTACACCAGCACAGGCCTCCTGCAGTCCTCATTCCATCCACGTTAGACTGTCAGTGCTCTGCTGGATTCCACTGCTAGAACGGCATTTAATCAGTCTTTGGTCACTCTCCGCTTTGTACGTGTTTGTATTTAAGCCTTACCAGGACAGCTGTAGGAGCAGCGGTGGGCATTTAAGCTTCAGAGAACCAACCTGCTTGCATTTATTATCTTCAAGCCCTACTAAAATCTCAACAACAAGAGGAATATATAACCTTTTTAACAATAAACTGAAGAGGCCATAAAACCACGTATATTCCAGTTGTGAAAGGCCCTTTATCTCCCAAAATTTACCTTTTTTCTTTAAATACTTAAAAGAGCATAATCTTTATAATCTATTTCTTAAGCCAGGTGAAGTGAAGAGGCAATGTGGTTAGTCCTGAGGGAAGATTAAATGCAACGTATTTATTTCAGCATCCAAACAGAAAGCACAGTAACAAGCAGCAAGAAGGACGCAGAGTGAGACCTAAGACACTTAAATCCCAAGATTATGTGGAATTAACTTCCATGCTTCGGAAGTTCTCTGGCTAACAAAGTCCCAGTTTACATTACGA